AAATTTAATTCATATTACTAAAATAGAGTATTTTAATCTTTCTTAATAATAATTTATTAAAATAACATAATTTTAAAATAATTTTTCTTCTAATATTAAAGAAATAAGGCACATGGATACTTTTTTTCTAGAATTTAATCTAATTTTAATATAATTTAATAATTTTATTATTATTATTATCAAAAATTAAAATTGACAAAAACACATCCACCATATATAGAATAATTATCAAATACTAAAATAGTTTTTAACGACAAGATTTATACTTAGTTACACATGATAATACAACACATCAACACAAAACAAAACAAAAATCACATGCTGACCTAGTAACAATGACAAATTTTGATATTGAGAAGAATAGAGACATATAACACAGATTAAAGTTTTCAAGAACTGTGCTTACAATGGTCCTCTCCGCTGCTTGTTCCTCAACTTTGTTTTGATACTCTTAGAAGCTTACCTACCACGATTTCTGCTTCCTTGATTCAATCGAGAAAAGAATTTGGAAAGAAGACCATCAGTATGTCTGTAATACCACACCCTCAATCTCTTGCGTAACATAAGTGGTAGAATAACAATTCCTAAGCCAAAAACAAATCCCAATTCAACGCTTAGGAAATTCCAATCAATATGGGTTCCATCATATGAATGTTTGTATTCGGATGGTGGTACTACACTACAATTTTCCTTCAGGGGCATCCCACATAATCCCTTGTTATCTTTAAAGGAATCTTTTGAAAATGTTTAAAACTGACTTCTACTTGGGATTCTTCTTTCGAGTTAATTGTGTGAGAGATTAAGGACTGTAAGGAAATTAAGATTTCCTAGCTGTTGAAGAATTTCACCATGCAGGTTGTTACTGGAAAAGTCCAAAGATTCAAGATGTTGTAACTTCCCTAGAGATGAAAGGATTAGACCTATGAAGCCATTATGTGACAAGTTGAGGGCATAGAGTGTCTTGAACTCCCCCAAAACCTCTGTTATTTGCCCTTCAAACTTGTTACATGAAAAATCGATGGAGGTGAGGAGGCTTAAGATTTTCACTAATCGTGTCTCAGAACATTTAATGGTAATGGTTGCTGCATATCAATAATAGATACCTTGAAAGAAATCAATGCTGATGATTGTCACCGTTCTTCCACCATCTTTGCAAGTTCCTTCTGATTCAGGAAGACAGACTGTTTGCGAGGATTTATTGATTTCAAATTCAAGATGAATATCTTCCTCAAAAACAAGGACTTTGTGCACATCTAAAGCAACCATCACTGCCTCCCAGCTTTGTAACCAGTGATAAGGCAGTTCTTCCCTAAAATGATTAGAAGCAAAAGCGACAATTTGAAGTGGTGGCCAGGAGGAATTGTCATCTAGGCAATTAATCAACCCATGAAAGTTGTTGTACCTCAATACCAAGACTTTCAAATTAGACATATACTTCAAATGGCATGGAAAAGTATCACTGATCTGGTTGTTCCCAAGGTCTAAGACCTCCAAGATAGCACAATTGGCTAGAGATCTAGGAACCTTCCCCTCTAAGTGGTTTCCATTAACGTTTAGTGTTAGTAATGAACAGTCACTGGAAAATTTAACAGAGATGTTGCCACTGAGGTTATTTCTACTCAGGTCCAACACCTTAAGAGACTCCATCTCATTTAAGCATTGAGGAATAGTGCCATTCAGGGAATTATTCGACAAATCAAGGACTTGAAGATTTGTAACATGGCAAATTGATTCAGGAATACTTCCTGGAGGTTGTTGTTGGAAAGAAGGATGAAAGAAGAGGTAATTGAGATATCGGAGAATTGTATAATAGAGCTGAAATTGTTGCTCGAGTAATCTACATATGCCAAATTTAGCGAGAGGTTTGGTAGTTGACCTTGCAATTTGTTGCCACAAAGGTCTAAGATAGACAAAGAAGAACTTGGGGCTTTCAAAGGGCCTTTCAAATTCACCAGAAAGTTATGAGAAAGATTTAAGGAAATAAGAGATGATTTTTCCCAAACCCAATCAGGTATTTCCCCATCAATTTGGTTGGCTGAAAGATCTAAAATTGATAGTTCAGATACTCTCCCAGAAATTTAGGAATCTTTTTAGGTTGCAAGAAGCCAATTTTAATGTGTGCATTTGGGCAAAATAAGTACCAAAAGAAATGGTTGCATTGATGGACGAGTTGTTGAATGAGAGATCAAGAGTAGAGAGATTGGATTTGTGCAAAATTGAACTTAAATTTAATGGACCACTAAAATTATTGGAAGAAAGGATGAGGACCTGAAGGCTCTGGAGTCCAAATACACACATTGGGAGAGATCCATTCAACATATTACCATCCAACTCAAGGGATTGCAAAGTAGAGGAAGCTAATTATGGGGTTTCATGCAATTCACCAGTGAACTGATTTTGTGAGAGTACTAAACTTTGCAAAGATGGAATTTTAAACAAAGTTGCAGGGAGAATTCCACTTAGTGCATTGTCTCTCAGATTAATATACTCAAGCTTGGAAAGACTTGACCAGTTAATGGACAGAATTGAACCAGTGAACTAATTGTGGGCAAGGTTTAGGTGGGTAAGATTTTTGGCAAATGAAAAAGATGGGATTGGACCAGAAAAACTGTTGGACGAAAAATCTAGAGAGACAAGTTGTGTGAGATTTGTTATCACTTCTGGAATTTGCCCTGTGAAGCCAGCATGTGAGAGATTAAGATGACTCAAGTTTGAAAGTTTATCAAACCTAGAAGGAAAGTCGGAGTTGAAGTGGTTGTTTGCCAAATTTAGACTCTGGAGGTGTTGGAGATTGAAGATACTGCTTGAATTGTCAATTCCTCTTACAGTCCATTCGTTGCTCAACTCAAGATCTGTAACATGACCTTCAGCATCACATGTTACACCTTCCCACGTGCAGCAATCTGTGCTTTGATTCCACTTCACCAGTTTGAGAGATGAAGAGGAATTGAAGTCGAGCCTGTTCTTCAATTGAAGCAAAAACCACTGCTGGTCCCTTGGACAGTGACCAGAAACTAAAACCACATTGATCTCAAAGAAAATTATTGCAAGAAGTAATATGAAAAGCCAAGAAAAGAGTGAAAGCATCATGGATTGCACCAATGTCAATAGAGAACAGACAAACTATGATCGTGAGTTTTAAAGATTGGCCAAAATCATATATTGACTAATTGTTGCAACTTCTTAGTCTTGAAACATAGGACTCTTTAATTTGCCTTGTTATTTATAATCACCATCACCTGAGTATATATACAAGTCATTTACATTTCTACAGCTATGTTGGAATAAAACATCAGTCTACCCAAAAAAGAGAGAGAGAGAGAGAGAAAAAAAATTGATGTTACCAGAGTCTGTTACTTCATAGACCGCATGTGAAACCGACCAACTTGGAAGGAAAGCACCATTGGATACGGTAGGAAAAGTGCACTTAGAGAAAAACGTTGATGTTATCGGAAGTCTACTGTACGTTCCACCTGTTAAAGTATGTGAGATCAACCTACCGAAAGTCAAAGCACCAATGGATACGGTACGGCGCGATTTGGTAAGACAAAAAGAGATTAAAGCAGGAAATTTCGAATGTATCAATCGAGTGGTTCAATCAAATTTCTGCGTTGGAAAGACCGTTCCATTCACAAAGCTTTACTGCATTTTATAGAGTAAAAGCAATTCTAATCTAGAGAAAAACTAACCCATGGAATGAGTTTGAGAAAAGCCACTTTATTAAATGTGGATACGTAACTTTTCACTTAATCTACGTCTATTCTGTTTTTAATCTTTTTAATTTGAAAGGGTTGGAATGTATTATATTATTTAATTTATTTTTAATTTTAATTTTTTAAAAATAAATATATAAATATTTTATTTTATTTATTTATTTAATAAAATTTAAAATTTTTATTTTTATTAAATTATTTAATTAAATAAAAATATTATTATTTCTTTTTTTTCATTTTTATCTATTTAAAGAAAACTAATATTAATGTCTTCCTTTTCTCCACTTCCCCTCCCTTTCCTTTCCCTCCCTTGTCAATTTTACTACTTTTTATCCAAACATAAACTAAAGGCTAGCAGGCTAAATACGTTGACGTTAGATCGTGATTCGAAGATGAAAAACTGAAGAAGTTGCTTGAGTTCTCAAAGTCCAATAACATGGCCCCAGCACGGCTTACACAGGTTAAAAAGTAAGAACAGTACAGTTAATATATAAATAAATAATCAAAGGAAGTAAATCCAGGCGTGAATGCCGGAAAATTACCGGCATTAACAACTGCCGTTTAATAAATAATCAAAGGAAGTAGAACCAGGCGTGAATGCTGGAAGATTAGCGGTATGAACAACTGCCGTTTTGAATTAGATTAAGGGCATGTTTGTTACAGCGGTTAAAATTCAACGGATAGCGGGTAGCGGGTAGCGGATAGCGGATAGCTGTAGCGGGTAGCGGGTAACGGTTAGTGAATAGCAGATGGCGGATAGCGGAAAGTGGGTAGCGGATGGTAAATAGCGGATTCGATAAATATAACTGTTTGGTTATACAATAGTTAGCGGTT